AAAATTTTTTATAATTTTATAATAAAATATGAAAAAATTTCAGCATCAGCCGTTTTCAGCATCAGCTGCGACAATAATTACTCTATATTGTCATAAATATGTTATCGAATCGTTAGTAAGCATATTTTGATAAGTAAAAGATATCATCACTTTAATTAGGCAAAATGCAAAAGCAAAAAGAACTTACACACTTGAACAAGTAGCCACGAAAAAGACGTGAGTTAGCTTATCGAAAAAATGAATCAGAAAAGAGGCAGACATCAGTTAACTAATATTAAAGCGAAAGAGAGCATAAATCAAAAGTACGAAGTTTTTAATTAAATTTTTATTGAAATAATTATTGTTTAAACATTTTCATTCGTCATCGGCAGACTAACATCATGGCAGATTTACAGAATCAAAAATTGGACCTTAAAAAAGACCCCAAATTATATTTGCTTTTGGTCAATAAACCCATTATATCATATAAGAAATATATGTAATTCGAAGGTTCTGAAAAAAAAGGTCCAATTACGCAAATCCGCGGATATATATTCGACATATTGCTATTCCTGTTTTATTTTTTTTACGTACAGTATCTGTAAATTTTTGATACCATTTAATAAACTATTAAAAGCTACTCAAGCGCTGATTAAAGTCTTTACTTGATCTATTTGAATTTTCACTAATTTAATAAGTAGTGAATATACAAATATTTGGTGAAACCTCGTGGCAGAATCACAGTCAGACGCTAAGAATTGCTATGCATGTAGCACGGAAAGCCATATTGCCACAAATGTTTTTTAAATATTTACAAACAGAATATGGCTTAGTTCAAATCCTCAAAATTTCAGATACAATTAAAATCTTTGTCCTGCTTATTGTTAGTGAATATTATTTGAAAATTTATTATTCCTATTAAAATTAACAAAGATAGTTAGAAATGACATCAAATTCAAATATTGTTCAAATTTCAATCGAGGAGATGACATCAAATTCAGATATTGTTCAAATTCCAATCGAGGAGATTCCAGATAAAAATAAGAAAATTTTGGAAATTGTCTGCTCGCCTAACTTGAAACATGTTGCTGCATTAGATGAAGATAGCAATATTAGTCTTTGGTCTATAATTAGTGAAGAGAAACTTTTGACAAAAGTAAAGACATTACATATTGGAGAGATTTGGACTAAAGAAAATGGTGAAAAAATATTTGCAGTTTCAGATAACAAATACGTTTCAATTAGCCTTAATAGAGTCAGTACTTATAATTTCAGTAAGTTATACATACAGTAAATTTAAATATTAATGTTATTGTTATTTATAAGTAAATCATTTATCGTTATGCATATTTTTTAAGAAATTGTCGATTTTGAAGCTGAAAAAGATATATTATTAACTTTTAAAGATCGGCAGAAGGAAATTGATTACTTATCCTTTATTGATAATGGAGATATCATAATGGTCAATACAAAGTATTACAGAGCATATATTTTTACAAGTAAAGATCTTGTTAGTTGGGTTTGTAAATCAATGATTGAGTTGAAATATTTTAAAAAAATATATATTACTCCTAAAGGCAAATTGATTATATTTAATGATACAATTTATGAGATCTCGATGTGGGACATTGAAAAATTATCGATTAAAACTCGTATTTTAATAGATTGGAATTATACACTTGAATTTATTGAAATTAGTGGTGATGAGGAATTATTAATAGTATGTGCAAAAAATGAGGAAACTGAGGAAACACGTTTATACACTTTTTCCACCGAAAATAGAATGAATCTAGCATTCTGTAAGTTTCAAATTGAAATGAGCAATTGAACATATAAAATTTTTTCTTATTATCTTAATTTTTAGATACCACAGAATTGGTAATAGACAGACTCCACTTGGTCGCTTCTAAAAAAGGAGAAAGATTATTATATATTTCAGGCGAGCAATATAACTTGATGGATCCTTATTACCTTAAAAATCCAATAGATGCGAGTAAACTTTTTAAACGCATACAAATTCAAAGACTTCACGAACCATACATGATTAATTCAGATAAAATAATTTACACAATTGATGGGAAAGTATTAATTGAAAACTTGGTGCCCGATAATTGGGTCGAATACTTACGGAAAGAACTGGAAGACACAAATAGCATTACAACTCCGTCTAAAAAGACAATTGACATTCTAACTGGATTTTTAAAGAGTAATTATAACCCTGACAGAAAAGAATTTATAGGGAACTTTTTAAAATGGAGATTGGAATTAGACCATAAATCAGTCAGGCTTACAGTAACTGATTTTAATTATCGCAGGAATGAATGGAATCCGGATAATCCAGATGATAAAAAAAAGCATCTGGATATTTTTCCATCGTTTTATACTGATGGAAAAAGATTTATACTTTATTGTGAAGTTCTTGAAAACGATGATTTCATTACGATTACACGTATTGGTGTAATTATCTGGACTTTTAAATTTTCTGACATTAAGATGCTCTATTATTGGAATGATTGTGATTGTCGTCTAGACAAGTTTGATATTGAAGAATCTAAGTTTAAAGATTTCATTGAGGGCTTTGAGGACTACAGGATATCAGGACGAATTCGAATTCTTCCTGCTTCTAATTACGAAACAATCTGTAAAAATTTAAATGTAAGATTTGGTAAAAAAAAAACTTTTCGAAGAGCTTTTGAAAAATGATATTGATGATGAATTTTATTTAACTTTCTATGGAAAAGATCTCATGGAAGCACTTCTTTCATCAAATGATGGTAAATGGATTCGATATTTAGGCCAGCGCTGTTTGGATAAGTGTGTGCAAAATGATAATCATATGATTTCTAAAATTTCTTTGTTGGATATTATTTTTGAATACTTTGATGATTTATCATATTATCACCCTACATTCATGGCAAATATACTATTCAGGATAAGATTTGTAGTTCCATCTACTATATTAAACCTAGACTCTCCACATCTTTCTAGTTATGGAAGATACTACCATTTATCTAAAACATCATCTCTTGATATATTAATTTCTAGTTTTCGAGATTTCAATCGAAATGATCTTGAAAGTGCTTTAAGGCCTTATTCTCCTTGTATTTGGTTTATTTTTATTTTTTTTATTGATTTTCTTCTTCCTATTCTTCGTCTTCTTTATGTTCTTCTTCTTTTTCCTCTTCATATTCTAATTGTAAAATTATATATTGAGTTTTATGTTTTTTTTTATTCAAAATTATAATTCAATAATACTTGCAGTTCCCTACCCAAACTTTGTTTCTTATCCAAAAAACTACAATATTTGGAAAGAATTAATAATTCCAAGTTATAGTTCCTTTATAATTTCAAACAAGTATGAAATGATAGCTCAAGAATTTTATAGAAATTTAAATGGAGAGGCATTACTCGAATTCAAATGGAATACTTATGGAAGAAAATATTATTTAGCAATATGGACAATCTATACCATTTTTCTTTGTTGCTTTATCCTTGTTTCCGCCCTATCAGATAATATTTCTTTGTTCTATCAAAGAAACTTCTTACTCACCGTTATTATTCTTGGATTCTGGCATCTATTTTTCGAAATTCGTCAATTTATTGCTTCTGGACGTTATTTATCAAGCTTATCAAGCATTTGGAATTATTTGGGTAAGCTTTCTTTTTTTTATTAAAATATTTACTGAGATATGTGTATACTCAATTTAGTATTTAATAGATCTTGCTGCTATAATTTCTACTACTGTAACTTCGATTTATTGGCTAAAAAATGGCTCTACTTCAACTTGGGCTATCACAATTTCAACTTTACTTCTCGAAACAAAATTTATTATTATGCTTTTTCGTCCTATAAAATCTTTTGGGATTTATCTTGCTATTATTATGAATACTGTAGATAAAGTAATATATTTTTTAATAATTTTTGGATTTTTTATACTTGCATTTTCACATTCATTATACCTCTTGTTACGGTCAGAGTCTGAAATCTCTCGAGGTATTTGATCAGTAAAATTGATTTTTATTTTATTACATAAATATGCATTAGTTAGATATTTTATTGTTCTTTTCTTTTAGATCTCAATATAAATATGTTTACACAATTCGGTTCTGCAATTATTGCATCTTATTATATGATTATTACAGGTATATTACATAGATCATCAATATTTTATTATTATCTTATTTATAATATTATTTAATCTACTTTATTAGGAGACTCAACTCCTATTTCATCATGGGTTTCAAGTGAAAATATTGTTATAATGCTTTTAATGATTATAGTTTCATTTTTTATGCTTATTTATTTGATGAATTTATTTATTGGAATCCTTAGTAATTTAATCAGTAATGAAATCAATGATATTGCTTATTTGATTTCAAAAAGCGAGGTATTTTTAATTTTATTTCAATTAAAGTTTTTTTTTTTTTAAATCAATGACTTATTATGTTATATAGATTCTTGAAGAAATTGAGTTACTTTATATGCTTCCTCATCAACGAAAAAAAGAAAATTGGTTCCCATCTGTTATGTAAGTTATTTGATTGTATGCAAAAACAAAACCTTATCCCTATTACTTATATACTTTTTATTTTTATATTAAAAGTTTTATAATTGTCACATAACTAAGCTTCATGCGCGTATAAAAGATATCCAAGATGATGAAAAACCTTATTTTTCACAGAATCTTAGAGAAGTTCTTCAACTTGATGATGAAGAGCAACCCCCAAAAGAATTAATTAAGGATTCGAAAACAAATAAGTAAATGCGATTTCTGATTGAAAATAAATAGATATTAGTAGTTTGACGAAAATTTAGCTATAATAATTTCAATATTTTAAATTTATATTTTAATATGTGAAATAAATATTTATTTTTGAACATAAATCAAAACAACTAATGATTTAAATATAAAGTTTAATCAGGTATTAAAGCGCTATTTAAAATTCTTTATTGCTTATTTAAGAAGCCATGTTATTATATAAAGGTACCTAAACTATAATTGGTGGTAGTATTACAGAATTACAGAATCACAGATGGTAGAATTAATTATGGCATAGAAGTCACACGATTTGTCACATCTAAAATTTTATCATACTATATAGCTGCGCGCGAAAGCAGGAACGGAAGATCTAGAGATTTATCCAGTAGTAAATATTTATTAGTGCAACAGATAGCATTCGTGCACAATCTATCTTATTTAGTATTTTTTAATTAAGAGTTATTGTAAAAATTTTATTATAGAACTTACCGATCATAATTTCTACTACAAGTTACTATGAAATTTTGTTACAGAACTAGCCGCTTGAGTTGCTTAAAGGGAGTTAGAAATGAGTATGCTGTATTGTTTGTATTTCATTGGTATGCTATAAGTTTATTATAATGTAATTTTAGTACTGTTCTCATATTTTTTATTAATTTGATATTATGATCTATAGAAAAAATGCCAGAGCTTTGCATTAATGATTATGAGGAATTGTTTAGTTTTATTTTATAGTCCGAATACATTTGTTTTGCTTATAGACTATTGCAGTTTTTGTAATAAACTTATTGTGATTTGTATAAGAGAGTTGGATATTATTTAAGAGTTAATATATATATAAATTTTCAGGAAAAGAAAATAATAAATAAAATTTTAATTTTTAAAAAATCTATTAACAAACTACTATATTTTTCATTAGATGTATTTCATAATATATTACTGCATTTTCCCTCTAGAATAAAGAAATACAGATTAAATTTAAAGAAAAGTTACATAAATAATACATGAACAATAACCTTGTAGTTTAGTAAGGCCACGCCGATTTGATTTTCTTTTACAGTAACACAACACCCCCCACTTTTAAAAATTCACATAGTATAAATAATACACATCATATATGTGCTATAATAACCAATATGATTTAAGTATTTTAGTCATATGATATTCATTAACTACATATGAGTGTCACCAAAATAAAACCCGACAATTTAAATATAGCCTATATTTAAATTGTCGGGTTTTCTTTTGGCGACACTCATATAAGAAAAATGAATTTAGCTTTTGATATAAGAAAGTCAAGTCAAAACTGGGTTATAAATCAGGCCAAAAAGTTAAATCTGTGTTTGATCCGGGTTGCAATTTTTTGACCCGAGTAAGAACTATAGTGTATAATTTGTTATATATTACGCAATCATATATGACGTAAATGTGCTAAATCAGGAACAGATGGATAGAAGTCTAATTTGGATAACTCTGATACAGAATAGTTATGTCTAGTTTCAAACTCAGATACTTAAGACACGTGATGAAATGCAGAATAACTATATTAATATAAGACAAAAAAAGATTTCACAAGATCTTAATGGAATTTGCAAATTTGCATATTTTGCAATGTCAATATAATAAAAAGTTTAATAAATTCTATTGGCTAATAAATAATTTATATTTACAGATTAAATCAATATGAATTAAAAGTTAAATAGAACATTAATTATAACTAATGCTCAATTGATAATTGTCATATTATGCTTATATAATGAGAAAAAAATAAATTATCTTAGACATTGATTAATAATAAAGTGCTAAGATGCATGCATTACTGATATTGGGGGAAGAATTTTTTAGTGCTGTTCTGCGCAGATTTGCAAAAAAATTAAATAATTAAATCTGTGCAAAACTTCAGGCTCGCCAGCTATAGCTACAGATATTAAATACAATTCTGGTCAAAATTTCAAAATATAAGAAATTTTGCAAAAAATTCTGCAAAAATGCAGATTTAAATTTATTTAATTTTCCTGATGAAAGAAAGGAAATATTTGTGAAGTTCTGACGTATATAGCACCTGAGCTTTCGTGGGTCAGTCATATACTCAAGGATCAGAGATTTCGACCGGGCAAAGGTCATTTAATGGAATTCCATTTGATGATTATCTCGTATCAAGAGTTATCTTTGAATCAAGACTTGAATGTTTAGAACCAGACTGTTTTATTAAATTAGCTACGAAAATGTATGGATAAAGATTTTAATAAATGACCTACTGCAACAGAAGTTAAGGAAATAATCACTCGTTGGCTAGATGAAAGCTGATAATGAAATTAAGAAACAATTTATAGAAGCTAATAAGATTAAACTAGAACCGATTAAACAAATCCATTCTCAATACGCGTATACTAGCAAGATATATGATACTAAAAAATTTTCAGAATTTATTAGCAAACCAATAAGTGCAGTAGAAATCTCGAGCAATTTCTAAAATTTAAATTTAAATTAAATTATATAAAATTTGTGTTTATGCAACATGTCTTAGGAAGATACTGTGCAACTATGGTACTGTTTTCTTGGTTATCAAATTTTTTTTATAATATTGAATCTCATTATATCCAGAGTTAAATATTTACTTCTTGCTTAATTTATAAATTTTAAACTATTTTCATTTGTGCTTGAGTGACTGTTTCTTGGAAGAAATAAGTTTTAAAATCAATTTATCTTTTTTTCAAATCTCTGTTTTAAACATCTTTGAAATGATAATTTATTTTTAACTATAATATGTAAATTTAATTCTAAAAATAATTGAAGTTTATAAATATGCTAATCAACTCAACAATGCAAGTTTTAACAAGAAATTTCATTTTAATTTTCCACCTAAATTAAATATTGGAAAACTATTATATATATTGTAAGTTGATACAGAATATAAATGGGTTTGGAATTCTTTAAATGAATTAGAATTTATGGTAGAATTTATCATATATAATAACTAAGAAATTCTGAATCACTTAAATTCTGTTTCTACTTATAACATACATACGCATTTAATTATAGGCAGAAATAAGTTATAAATATCCCTTTTTTTAAAAAAACTCCAAAGTATTTCAAGAAACAGAAAAGTACATACTTCTATCGTTATTAGGCGACACTTAGAGACTTTGCGTTGACATAAATTGAAACCTAGTTTTGACTTTTGCAAAAAAATTTTCGAAAAAGCGAATATGAAAATAGTGAAAATGATAAAAAGTAGTACTGATTGATAAATGAAGACGAGAAGTGGTAAAACTTACAAAAAACACCGAAAGGAAAATAAATGAGAATATTAATTACTATCAAAATTCTATAAAAAATGGCTGTTTTATAGGTTTACTATTTATAGAGTTTGAAGTAGAGATGCTATGCTCAGCCCCTGTCCTAACCGAGGACTGGATTATGATCCAAGATCGATCCTTAAACAGGCTCATGAATCGGTATACTTGCTTGTTTTCAAAATAAGCTAAGTGGTTTTAATGATCGCTGCATATAAAAAAGACCTTACAGCTATCACCATAAATCCTGGGACAAATGAAAAAAATTGCCAATGACCGAATCGACAAGTTACCGGGTCAAGACCGGCATTGGAAACTTATAAATACAGTTGTCGGCATTTTTTTTTTTTTTTTAGACAATGAGATCATTCTACAAACTATGGACTGGTCTATATAACCGTTCCGGACCAGTGTTAGAAATCTGTTTTGAGATTTATGTTCTCATGAGAACAAATTAATTTAATTTAATGTTCTTGGATATTATTAGTGCTCGCAAAATCAAACAAAAACTTGATATTCAAGTTTTTGAATCTATCGATTTACATTACTGTCACGGGGTTAAGCGATACTACTAATTTAGCATCGAAATCTAACTAAATATGGGTCTGTCGAACACTCGCTGGTATATTTTATAACGGCAAATATGATTACTATCAAATTAAGTATTATTCTCTTTATTCAGGTTCTGCGTAAGATTCTAAACTAACTCTCTTCTTCTATTTAACATTTCTTATTTATATTTACATGCTATACAATTACATCATGTTATTGTCATCGCAATAATGACGCTATAGCTAAGTTTAATTTTACGTTAATATTGTTTGCATAGTTTAATTTGACTTTTGATCGTCACTCTTACCGTCACTCACGTGACAATTACAAAATCTATTTTTACTCTAATCTAGCTTTAAACTTCATGGTAAGTTACCACTAAGTCTAAAGTAAGATCGGGTGCTTATTAGATTTATATATTTACTAAAAATAAAATTTGTATTTATTGCCAATACTGTAGATTGATAGATTCAAAAACTTGAAAATCAAGTTATTATTTCATTTTGCCGTGCACTAGATATTCTTTTATTTTAGGGTGTTCTCAAGTGCCTTAGTCAATCGATCGGAATAGGGTCGGGGCAAATTTTAATTAATAAAAAATTGGGTTT